ACAAAAGCACAAAGGCTGCCGAAAAAAATTCAAACTATTTTGCAATTGCAACGCTTGTTTTCCAAATTTTGCGAGAATACTAGATGCCAAGTTATCTCTGCAGTTTGTGGTTACCCCTGTTGCTTTATGGAAGAACCGTTGTTGTTGTTGTTCGCGAGGTACGAGTTCTAGGGTGTCGTGGGAGTAGATCTCCCTGCTCTTTCGAAATACATTAGGACTTTCTTTGGGTGTTCTTGGAGCACGGACAGGTCGGGATGCTGGCCCAGTGTTTCTTTTCTTTTGTCTTCTCAGTGCGGACAATGAAGAATAAAAGGTTCGGCGTCTTCGGGGGCCTGGCTGCAGATGGGGCAGATGTCGTTCTCAGATCTTCCAAAGCGGTGAGCGACCGACTGCAGCCAGGGGGACCTGTTAAGTCTAAGTTGATGGGAAGTTATTTCATCTCGTCGTGATCTGGTTCTGTCAAATTGTAGTGTTCTCCCATTCGTGGCTTTTCTGTGGTGTGCGTCTTCGGGAGTGTTGTTGAAATATACTTTTAGAGTTCTTGCTTAATTTTCCTCGCGCAGATGGTGTCGGACGCAGATTCGCTGGGGAAATTCTTGTAATCTTCTTCTGCATTCTGATCTCCACTGTGTGCGGTATTGTTGATCTCCTTTGGATCTTAGGCGAGGTCTTCCTTGTGGTCTGATGAGTGGGCTCAAGTGGTGGTAGGGTTGAAGGTTGTCTATCTTGCAGAAAAGGTTGGTGCCTTCGGCCTTGGCGACAAGCTATAGCGAATGGATGTCGGCTTCTCTTCTGGTCTGGAAGACTAGACTGCCCTTCGGAGCCCCTGTGATAGCTCGGGCGGCGTTGTTGTTCGAGACTTCCAGATTCTTCTTAGCTGAGTCGCCTTAGAAGTGGTAGTACACTCCAGAACCGCACATACCACCTGGGCGCACGTAGGCCTTGTACAGGTGGCGGAGGTCGGCTGAGAGGAGGCCCCAGTTCTTGCCGCTGAGAGACCGCAGGATGTTTTTGCAGCTAGACATGCGCTTTCTGGCGAGCCTGGCTTGTTCCGTGAAGTTGACCTGGGGGTACAAAGTGATCCCCAGGGTGACCGGGTGCTTTGTGTAGCCGATCGGGACGCCGTCGATGCGCGGAGAAGGTCTGGCTTTCCCTACTGTTTCCCTTGGATCTAGGGAGAAGACCATGGCTTCCATTTTCTATGCATCCATGTTGATTTTCATGTAGTGACTTCTGGCCCACTTACCGATGCAGTCAAGGACGGGTTGCCCATTTGCGGCAGCTACTTCAGAGATGTCGGCTTGGGAGAGGGTCGTTAGATCGTGGGCGAAGACATCCACAATGTTGTCTGGGTTTGTTGTCTTGATGTCGGTGATGAGATGGTGAACACCCTGGTAAACACCCTGCTGAAAGTAGCGGAAGCCGCTAAGGGAGTTGTTCGAGAGGACGGCGGCTTTCCTGTCGGCTAGCCACGCTCTGATCCAGCGGAGGAGTCTGTTCGGGGTGCCGCAGTGTGCGAGGTCACGGAGAAGACCTCCTCGCCACACCTTGTCGAACGCGGCCGAGAAGTCCACCCCGACAATGAGAGTCCGCTTGTGCTTGTGTAAGCGTCGAAGGACCTCTTCGCAACACTAGCAATGACGTCCAGAGTGCTGCGTTTGGGTTGAAACCCAGATTGCTCCTCGGGGATGACGTTGTTGAGCTGGGGCCAAGTCTTGAGTCTTTGGGTGACCATCGTCTCCAGAATCTTCGAAGTGGCGGAGAGAAGAGACACTGGGCGGTAGCTCTTGATCTTGTCCTGAGGCTTGTTCTTCTTCAGAATGGGAATAATCACTGCACTTCTCCAACAGCTGGGAACCCGGCTCTCGGTCCAGCGGCGGTTGAAGATGTAGAACAGGCGGAGTCTGGCGGCAGCAAGTAGGTACTTGAGTACAAGAGGGTGGACCCCATCTTCTCCTGGGGCACCCTTCTTCAGCTTCTTCAAGGCGCTTTGGAGCTCGTCCAAAGAAAGGGCTTTTTCTTCTTCTTCTTCTTCCGTCTGGAATTTGGTTCGAACCGTCTTGTAGGCTGCTTTCGAGTCTTCCATGATGTTGTTGGTGCGGCTGATGGTGGCGTAGACTCCAGCCGTTGCATCAGCCTTCTGTTTGTCGGTAACGTACTCTTTCCCGTTCTCGACAAGGGGGGTCCCCGGGAGAGACTGTTTGCAGTGGCCATCCATGCTCCTGATGGTGTTCCAGACCTTCGTCTCGGAAGTGGAGGGCGAGAGCTCGCTGACGAAGTTTCTCCGGGAAGCCGCTTTCCCAATCCTGATGGTTTCTTTGAGGTCGCTTCTGGCAGCGCTGCATTCATCAATGGCGGTTTGGTTGTCTCTAATCCTCTGGAGGAGCTTGTGCGCGGCATTGTATTTGCGCTTGGCTTCAGTGCAGTTCGCAGTCCACCAGGGCTTGGAGACTCTTCCTGAGGAGGAGGGAGCGGTGAGTTTGGCCGCTTTCATCACCTTGTCCGTGAAGAATGTGCAGTCTTTCTCTAGCGACTGCTCCGGCCAACTGTCTAAAAACTCGGAAAACTCTTTCTCGCAGGCGGTGCGGAAGTCACGTCAGTCCGTCTTGCGAAAATTCAGCTTCTTGCTGGGCTTAGCCTTCTGTTTCTTGTTGTTGATGGACAGAAGGATGGGAAGGTGGTCCAGCTTCTTCCAGCTGAAAACATGGGCTTCGCTGGCATTCACCATGGTCTCGTCAGGTGACGAGCCCGCTCCTCTGCTTGACCACCTTGTAGATCCGCTGTTCAAGAAAAGGAAGCTGTTGTCAGCAGCCCAGTCGTCGAGGGATTCGCCGAGGGCGTCGGAGGTAAGGATTTTGTCCCACGACCCGTGGCAGTTAGCATCACTGAGGATGATAACTTATTCACCGGTCGGTCAATTGTCGAGATGAAGGTCTGCGTCTCTGTGGTCGCAAGCCGGGGACCGGTAGATGTTCCAGAGGTCGACATCTCCATTGGACAAGGCGACTCGGACCCCGAGCGTCTCGAGAGCGGAGCCAGGAGGGGTGTTGATTTTCCCCAGAACCATCTTGATCGTCACATTGTTCCTGACCAGGATGGCAAGACCTCCTTGTGCGCGTTTTTGAGCGTCCGTGCGGTGGACAGACCTTTCAGCTGTGATAGCGGTGTAAGTGCTCACTTTCAGCGCCTCGGACTAATTCTTGATCTTCGTTTCTTGTAGGAATACTGCTCTTGGGTTGAATTCACTCAACAGCTTGCTGGGGACGGTCTGTTTCCCCCTCCAACCATCCACATTGATTTGGAGGATGCATTCGTTCTGACTTGTTGGCTCTTTCTTCTTCTGCTGAGCCGGCGGTGCGGGAGCTGGGGTGCAGCCGCAGTGCCATCTCCAGGTCGCCCAGCTGCGTATTTCAGCCACACTCATGTTGACGCAGCGTCGGTGGAACCAGCTCAAGCAGTCACCGCACTTGATGGAGTAGTCTTTGTTGGTCACTTTCTTAGTGCAGTGGAGGCAGTTGGGGTTGGTCTCAACATCTCCGGAGCGGAGTAGGCGTTGTTGGTTTTCTTGTTAATTGTCCGCGGGGGAGGCTGGGTGTCTCAAGACCGCGGGACTACTTGGCTACCCAGGTGAAAGCCCCATGTACTCTGCGGAGTACCCTGGTGATTCTGGATCTTGGAGGGAGGTCAAAACTTCCCCACATCTGCCGCCGAGGGGGGGTTGGGTCCCCAGAAGGCGTCCAGAAGGTTGAATTGCTACTTCAAGTAAGAGGAAGAACGAAACATATCCAGCAAACTTTTTTTCTGCTGCTGCAGTTTGCAACAAAATTCCAGAAGATGCTCGATGTTTGCAATCTCTAGAACTGTTTAAGCAAAATCTGAAGACTCACTTTTTGTAAATAATTCTAACTCTTAGTAAATTTCGTAGCCCTTTGGATAAAATGGTCATTTATTTTTTTCTTTGGTCTGTAAGAAATGAACTAAACCAAATTACGCGTCTAATATTAGCGAAATAAACAAAGTTGACTACAGTTAATTCCAAAATTGAAAAACACACAAAAACATGTGTTTCACATAAAATCTGAACTGTTTTCTATTTCTTTGCGCAATAATATTTCAGTGTTCAAAAAACTTTTATGGCCCAGGCGATTAAAGATTGCCAATATGACCAATTTGGAACAATTAACACGGATGCAATCTCATTGCAGTAATTAACTTTTTACTAGAAGCAAAATCAATTACGCTGTTCTTTATATGGCCAGTGAGGATGATTTTCAAAAAAAATTTCAAAAAGAGTCACTTTTTTTGAAAAACGTCATCAACTTTTTTCTAAAGCGAACATTGCTCCATAGATAATAAAAGGCCGTTAGTTCATTCAGGCAGTCTTGTTTGACATTGTTCAGGTTATATTTGGGTTTTTTATAGTTTTTCAAATCTCTAGGATTGCTGGGAAATTCGATAGTTTAGCACTCATTTATTTTTTGACTACAACGCATGTAGCAACCATTTCTGCAAATTAGGAATCATAAAACATTTTCAAGCAGCGAATAAAACAAGAATGGCCTTTAATTGGGAACAAGTTAATAAAATTCAAACTAAGAAACAGTGTTTTGTTTCTTCAGGCTTTGCAGACTTATGTTTAAACTTTGCAGACTTTGACCTGCGTGGCGACTATGAATTTTCGGTCCCCACGCGGAGCGATTTAGACTTATTAAGTCTGAACATAAAACCACGACCTCGTACCGAGTTGCTATACACCCACTGCGATGATTATATGGTGACTGCACTTTGAAAGTTATGATTAGAGCGATTAACAAGGGAAATAAAAAACATGACCCATGATCCATGATCGTTACTTGAGTGAAGCGAGATATTTGAGCACGGAAAAGTAACCTACAAATTTGCATTTAAGTCTTAATAGGGGGCCAGAAAAGCGGTTTTCGCTTTAGAGATGATCATCTAGTCTGTTTTTTTCTTCTTTACTTTGCGGATAATTGGCCAGAAATACGCGTTAATTCGTCCAACCTGCTGTGCTAAAAACACCCGTGACAAAATATTCCTGACACGGTTAAACAATTAAATTGGTCAGTTTCTGCAAAATTTGCCCTGTATTCCCCAGTTGTAATCAGTCTTAAGAAACTGATATTTGCAGGTTAACACCTAAGTTTTTTTTCAAGAAAAACACGTTTTCTCTCATTTTACATAAAATAAAATAGTTGACTTTTTCCGCGTTGTCAGTCACAAGTTCTGTATTCAATCATCTCACCTGAAGTTAAAAATACTAACTATTTTAGAACTTCTTTTTTCATATTGATAAATATTCAATCCAGATTTGAGTGGTCAAATTTTCACCATTAATCAGTGCTAATTGTGATCGCATTTTAAATTAGAGTATTTGGTTGTTTGTCAATCCCGCCTCGCTTCCCCGTAATGATATGCACTTGTTTTCCCGTCCATTTTGGAGAGTCGAATTGAACCAAATCTTTAAGATAGCTGAGACCAAAGTTTGTCCTTCATTTTACCCTAATTTCCACATCGTCAGGTTTGTAATTCGATATTTTATTTTTAAACTATCGAAAAAATTAAAATATGTGATAATTATTCTGGGTTCATTGAAAGACGACGCAGCGGGTTAGATCCTCTAAAAAGGGCAAACCATGTCAAACATTAGCATCTTTAAAAGGTTTTGGCAGCGTAGGTCCCAGCCTAGACAATAGTATCATAAAACAAGTTAAAGAAGAGAAGGCTCCAATATTTTTTCACACATCGACAAGGTTAGTCGAATAAGTAACGCTTCCTTTTTTTATAAATTAGATTTACTTTTCTACTTCCAATGAGAACCTCCTCTTTTTTCCGATGATATTCGAACATTCTACGGCAGCAAGTTTTTTGAGCAGAATGCCTCAAATTGAGACCAATCATGGTTCAATTTATAACGCCAGGAAATCGAATTTCTGGAGAAGTTTTGTCTTACTGTTTCCAAGGTAAATTTTAGTTCAAGTTTTTTTTAGCCAACGGGGTAGTTTCTCTGAACTCTTTAATACTCTAAAAAAGGCCTTTTGTTTCCAAAAACTCCTCTACCGCAGGCGCTGAAAGTATTGTTTTGGAAGGCTTTGTCATTTTTGGAAGGCTTTGTCAAAAAACAACACAAATTTAGACAAATGTAAATAACTAATTGAATCTTGGTAACTTTAATTGTTAATTTCCATTTCTAGGTCGTGAAATTACGGAAAGGAGAAACACATTGTTTTGCTATTTAAATCAACATCAGATTTCAAACAGCCTAATCTAAATACTAGCAGAAATGGTCAGTTGCGAAGGCAGACCCCAGATTAGCATCAATCTATTGTTGTTCGCTCTCGCGATTTCGATCATCTCGACCTTGGCGGCTATACACCCCGAGAAGCGAGCAAGCATGAGGGTTCATCGAACTCGTGGAGATCCACAGGGCTCTTTTGTCGACTCACTCGGCAAACGATCGGCTCTCTTCCCGTCCAGAACGTTTAATTCAGTTCAACCCGCAGAGTTACCGAGCCCGAACGAAAACTTCGTCGAATGGCGAGCGTTGAGAGATTACGCCAATGAAGTTCCGAGCGTAATTGAAGAGTTTTCTAATAGAGAAATCTCAAATGAGGACTTTGCAAGCGAACGACAGAGAAAAGAACAGCTTCCAGCGGTGTTATATTTTTTGTCCCGAGCCAACTCTAAAATCAAAGAGCACGATTCTTCACGAGTAAGAAGCCCATTTTATGACTATTGAAAAAAAAAAGAAGTAAATTGAGTCTCAAATCTTCAAAGTCGTGGTACATTTCTTGGATGTAATAAGATTCTATTATTGGCAGCTTAATATTATTTACATACAATTTAAAATAACATCTTCAAACACCTTTTTATATAGCTAAATTTTTTCCAAACCTGCATTTTTGTTTGGTTTTCACCTTATTGCTATAGGGTATCATGAAAATAACGTGAGAAGCACCTTGCGCAGTTGGCGAAGTAGTAGCAGATAATTCTTTCAGTTTTTGATCACATTTCAAAACGAAATTCAAAAGATTCCTGTTCAAAAAACGTTCTGATTATTGTTGCTTTTACAAAGTGACGATCTTAGAATCCGTGCAAGATTAGCTTAGAACAATAAAACATGAGTACAGGAGCAGATACAGGACTTTTGTAAGGGTGGTGATCATATAATCGTTTTTTGAAGCGTTGACTTTTTTCAGGTCGGCCAAGTTTTGTTAATCTAACCAACTCATAAGTACAAACAATTTGAGCTCAAAAAACGAATTTAGAAATTTAGAGCAACCAAGTTCTCAGAAGGGACGCCAAACTGAGAAAAATCCGTCTTTTTAATAGGCATCAAAATCAAACCTGTCAGAAAGTTTGATGTCAAAAATTGTGTAAAGTGCCGTTGGTAGGCAATTCCTAAAACTTTTTGACTACAATGACGCTTTTATAAAAAAAGAAACTTAAACACAATCAGCAAAAAATTAAAAATAGTGCCACAGAACACTCAAAAAACGTGTCGTGCGCTAACATACGAAAAATTGTACACACTTACACGATTTGTTGGTGCAATAGTGTTACACAATTTTGTAGCCATTTACATAATTTTCGTGTAAATTTGCACGATTTGTGTCGTATGTTTTACACGATAAATCGGGTGCTTTTTACAAACAAACGGAAATTTACCGGGTAAAAAATATATGAAAAGTTTTGTTCAACATACCGAAAATTGTTTTTCACTCGATACATTTTTACCTGCAAAACGGAAATTTTTCTTGTGAAAATAACGACATTTTTGTTGTGTTTTTTAATCAATGTTGTTTTTTGTTTTTTGTTATATTTCCTGGCACCACATACAAATGAAATATTTTTTTGTGACAAGTAGTGTATTAAAAGCAGGAATAGATTTTTTTGGAAATTTCATACTTGCAGAAAAAAACATTAGGCTCAGGTTCTATCATAAAAAAACAAGAAAAACAAAAAAGTAGCAGGAAAAAGCATCGCGGATAAATTGTGTCGTCAGAACAAAACTTTCTGAGAAAAAAGAAATTAATTTTTCAGAAATTTTAAAATACTTGTTCTTCAACATTCGAACGCAAAATTCAATTTCAAGTCCACAAAAAGATACTCTGCTAGTCCTCAAGCAACAAAACAGCAAACGGCAAGTAAAATATGATTTTTTGTTACCATCTGAGGAGGTTCAATCGCATCTTTAAATAGTTTACACAAAATTTGAGACCAAAGCAACGCCTGAGACAACCTGATTACACTAACCTCATGTTCTTTTTCTTTTACTTGCCTAAAATTGATTTTTAAATATCAAATTGCTGTGTTTTCATTCGATTGCAAACTTTATATCAATTATTAAGCATCAAAATTTAAAGAATAAAGAAAATTAGTTTGGAGTAAAAAAAATGATAGTCCTATTGTGCTGGAACAGATGAAATTCAAATTTGCAAATGTAAAGCAAACTTGTTAAAACTGATTCGCATAAATTACTCCGGTACTTTTGCCCTGTTTTCTGATACCTGAGAGTTTGTAACAGTTTTTTTTTCAGTCACAATGAATGATTTTAAAGATAAGGGGGATATAAAAATCTAAAAGTGTAAATTAGAAAACTAGGCTTAGTATGATTCAATACGTATAATTTCTAATCTCGCTCGTATAGTTTCGATAAAAAAAGAAACCAAATTTCATTTAAGGTTATGTTTTCAAAATTCAATTCGCAGGAAACTTTTGATAACTTATCAGTTAGCCCTTTTTGTGAAATTGGATTTTCCAAACCCTTTTTCAGCACACGGATGTTTTTTAATGTGGAAAATGATTCGATATGCTGCAAAAAATTGGGTTTTTAAATGTTTTTTTTTTAAATCAGACGATAATTTATATATATTTGGAGTTAATGCTTAAGAAGTTTCACTTTTTAAAAATACTCCTTAAACCTTTGCATAGCACCTTACCACTTTGTGCAGTACGCGCCATTTTCCTGACGCTTATAATTTTAACTATTCCTCATAATGTAAAACGTAAATTTTTTATGTGAAATGCTTCGCAAAATGAAACAAAAATCCTCTTGATGAAAAAAAACTACAATTTTTCAAAACTTATCCATATTGTGTCATTTATCAAACTTTTTTAGATAAACTAACCTCGTTGTTTTTTGACTAAATTTAACAAAAAAATGAAAAACCAAAATTTAAAATCAAGCAAACTTTTTTTGTTTGTGTTGAAAAAAAATACAAATTGTTCAACTTAAATTTTTATAGGGTGTAAATCAAAAGGAAATGATTATTGCTCCTAAAATAGTTTTCTTTTCAAATTCATTTTGTTTCTAGTATTAAAAACATTATAGTATTTAAAAATGTATAGCTTGATTCGATCGTCAAACCGCTTGAAAAATAAACGCCACTATAGAGACACAACTTAGTTCTGTGTCCCTTAAAAGAGATCACTTGGCGCAATTAGTGACCTCACTTTGTATAATGACAAACATAATTGAAACAAAACTAGTTATTTTAACCAAAAACCAATATCTCAAATTTATCGTTTTCCTTTTCAATTTATGATCGATGAAAATATTTGGGTTTGAAGAAGAATAAACTTCAAGGACAAGCCAGCTTAAAGTGTTTCGTTATATGTTTTTTCGGAAATTGTTCGTTTGAGTACAGAAATGATTTTGCAACCAAAACAAAGACAAAATATTTTTCTCTCAATTTTGAATTTTCTGCTCAAAAACTGCTGCATCAAATTGTATTTAAAGTACACCACTCACAAGGAGACCTTTCTATCCATTCCCTTCATTTTTTTTAACTATTACTTTTTCAAACATTTGAAAAAAATCAGCTCAACGAAAAAAAGGGAACATTGTCTTTTAACCTGGTTACGCCTCAGAGGTGGTAAATTTCAATGATGACGCGAGCGAGAATTAGAAATAACAAAAGAGAAAAATTTGAAACTTGATATGAAATTCCAAAAAACTGGCTGAAAAATTTTCACAGAAGACAAAACTAGAAATAAATGTCCACCTCCAAACACAAATAATGCTTGTAATACTTTTTTTTTAAAGAAAAAACCTAGCCAGACAGGTCAAACTGATAAATTTTCTTGAAGTTGTTTTCAAATCAAAAAACAGTTATTTGTTGCCAGACAGTAAAAGTAATTTTCAGACATTTTCAACTTCCTAAATTTTGCTTGGTATAGAAGAAACTCTTTTTGGCTGACTTAATTTACAAATAAACCCAGCCGTTTTTCACATTTCAAAGTTCTAAAATCAAGGGAAAGCTCAAATTCGTTTACGCTCAGGCAAACGTTTTCCGAAATATTTTTCGAAAGCAAAAATTCTAAGCTATATTCATGTCTAAAACGCAGCTCAAATGTTATTTTCGCACAAAAAATCAAATTTTTTGTTACTTTGTCGTAGCATTACTTTTTTAAATATGTCAAACAAAACTGGAAAGGTTTTGAACCACACATAGTCTTAATAAAGAGTTTTCTGGTCATAGACAATTTAATTTGGTTATTTTTTAAATACGAGAAAAATATTACGTAACATGTATGGCGAAACCTCTACAGCAGTTTATATGAATGAATATTTTCACTCAAGCAGTATTTTTTAATTAAAAAATTGATGATTGTTATTTGACAAAACACAAAAACTATTTTCCGTAAAAATTCATGATTGATTTTTGAAAAAATGCTGGCCAGACAATTTTCATGCATAATTTTTTTTTATCATTTAAATTTATATAATTTGTGTACGTATGGATTTTTATAGAATTGTAAGACAAGAAGTCCTTCATTTATTAAATTGTTTGATAAGAAGTTTGGATCAACCGGAGAGAAATTTGTTAACCCGAAGAGCAAACTTGGCTTTTCTAACATTGTTTCAATGACTTTGAAAGTAAAAAAAAACTCCTTGTTGAAACCATAGCACAATTTAATTATTGAAGCATGGGAGTTTATTTAAATTTTTGTTTGTTCGAATAAAGTAAGCTAAAATCTAAGCTCAACAAACGGCCACACAAAATGACCAATCAATAACCAGAATAACTACGCAGCAGAATGGGTATTAGTGAAGAAAAACAGAAAAATAATAATTTCTATGAATTGATTGTTAAATTAAGTATCAGAATTGTCAATACTACCAGAAACAGGAACATTTTTTGGCTCATTTGAGTCTAGAAGTTATAGAAAACACTTGATGAAATGATTCAATTCATGCCATGTTTATTTAATTTCTTTGTATTATTGACGATATTCCAAAAATAACTTTTTTTTATCAATTAGCCCAAAACTTAATATGTTTTCTGTTTTTCTTCTGTTAATAAATTCTGCTTTTTGTTCCGTCTCAGCCACACAATCGTTCAAACTAGCTGCATACTAACCACATATCCTCTTTTATTTACAAACTAATTGGTGTTTAAATAATCTACAGTACTTGAAACAGTTTAGTTTAAGATAGTGAGCATGAACACTTTACTCATAAAACAATTTATCTAGCAGAACGGGCAGATCTTACAACTTATAATAACTCTTTTTTTTGCAAATTCAACTTTTGAAAATAACTTTTATATTGAAAGTTCATTAGAAAAATTCATCAAGATGGTATTCTAAGAAAATGGCGTAACAATCAATTGATTCAAAACATGAACAAGACTGCTCGCCTAAGAGCAAAATCCTGAATGTTTGGACCACTTTTTAATTTCTATGGAAAAATTTCAAGCTTTTTAATTGATGAAAGTTTCAAAACAAAGTTTCAAAACAAATTTTTTTGGATAATAATTTTTTTAACAATCATCCACCCAAACGCTAAATTAAGTTCAAGGTGGTATATTACGCGTAAAGCAAGGTTTTAAAAAGAATGCAAAGAATGCCTCAGTC